CGAGGCCAGAAGGGCTAATTTAAATTTAAACAAAAGAATATTAATCCGGCAGCCATTTATGAAAGTGGTCTATGGAGTGCCACAGTTTCAAGTAGATAGTGATGCAGCAGTGAGAGCATATATTGATACAATTGTAACGTTGCTAGGAAACGAGGCTAGTCTCGCCCCAGGACTTGGGGGAAGAAGAGCGGGAAAATCGGGTCGGCCATCTTGTTGTGTTGATATAGTGTCGCCGCCGCTAATTGTATTAAAGGAGGTTTGTTAAACGTTACACAATAATTACGTGTCACAAGCCAGGTGACAATCCTAAATTAATGAATCTAGTCAAGAATGTAGATATTAACCTACATGTCGTAAGAATAGAAGAAGTCAATGTTGATTCAATTATCCCCAGCCTTCAATGAAACAAAGTATGATACTTTATCCTCTAGATAAGGATAGTCGATGAAAATGCATAAAGATAATTGAAATCATATCAAAAAGCACCTAAATGATACGAAGGAAGGCGAAGACATTTAATTTCCTTAATCAGTTGCTCTATATAATTTGGGTGTCACAGTAGAAAACTATTTACTTGCCATAAGTTCATTACTTGACTCAGCTATTGTTTTTTTTTTTTCTTTAAAGAAATCCAAATGAACCACGTATGTGTATTAGGTGTATATGCCCGGCTGTGAGGTATACATAGTAAGTTACATATCCAAAGGTCGAAAAGGTATGAGCGAACTCTTACGAGATGCTTGCACTGAGACAAGAAAGGGAAATTATGACTTTGAGCAACAAGTCAGCGTTATTGGAAGTAAATTTCTTAATAATGTAGATATAAGAGGGTGTCCAATAAGGTTCTTCAATCCCGCGATCCCAACTAAGATTTTCTCACAATCCCACGATCCTCGGTCTGTAGACGGATCTACCTAGATAATGTGATGCTTCTAGAGGAAAATCCTTTTAACCAAAGTTTCAGTTTTCTGTTTAATTTGCGTAGATTTTGGTTTAGGAGGCAAAAGAGAAAGATGTGTTCATCCAGAATCAAACTATGCCTCTATATTGAAGATATGATGCAAGTTATTCGCTTCCGCACATGTTTTTTATTTTTTGGAACTACTCATTATTGTTTGACACGGCTAAAATGGCTCTTCTGTATGCCTTACGAAAGGAAAGTTTGAAAGTTAATTTATGTGACGTTATCTGTGATTGCGATTAAACTGAACATAATCAAAACTATCAGCTCCCAACTAAAAGGGAAAAATCTCTAATTTTAAGCACGATTTACTACCATTGTTTTGAACCACCAAGGAAACAATTCTTCCGGCAACATTAGACTAGATTGGATTGAGTCTGCGCAGTCATCAGTTTTCAGTTGAAGAAACAAGATTCTTTCAACAGAATAACGATATAAACACATTCCTCAGGTGATACTGCATAGTGCAGTGATTGCTTTCCACCTGAAGCGGAAAGGTGTTATTTTTTTTTTTGTCTTTTTTTTTTGTTTTTTGTTTTTTTTTTTTTTAAAGTGACACCTGAATCGAACTATCTCATTGCAATGTAAACTGCAAAACCATCAGCTTTCGACTAAAAGAGAAAGGTACCTAATTTTATGCATGATATACCACTGTTTACAACCACCAAGAAAACAATTCTTCCTTCAATTTTTCCTTTTCAATTTCCGAAACTCTTCCTATCCTGCAAATAGTCTCGGTAAGGTCTATCAAGAAAAATATTTGTATTTTGCTGCTGACGTGTTTTTCTGATCTGGAAGCAATTTTTCAAATTGGGACCTTAAAACCTCCACGGTTGACATACGCCTTTTGTGCCTGATTTGTATCATTTACTCTTAGGAATAGAAGGATCATACTTTTCCGAAGCACCATGATTAAGTTGACAAAGACAAGAAGCAAGAGACACATAAAGGTACAAACGTTATCAATGAGGGCTTCATAACTTCATAACGAATATTTATTCTTTTTTAATTGATGCTGTTTACAAAATGTAGGTAACAAGATTGTCTATGCACGAGTAATTACCCTTAAGTCATCTACCCAATATAAGAGAGACCTTTAATTCGAGAGTGAAAAATTTCTCAGAGTGACTGTACCTTTGTTTAATCAGACTGGTAGATTACGATCCTTGGGAAAACAGAAATGACTTGAAATGTAAGAGTCAAATTGTCACAATACAGAAGTTTCTGTTTAAGTGACAACCAGCTTTGCTTTAAGGTGGCTGGTACCAGTTTCTTCGCGCGGGGAACAGGTCACTCTTGCGTGACGCGCGAGAGAAACGTGCGAAAGAAGCGCGCGAAAGAAGCGCGAGATCAAAAGATGAAAATTCAAAACAAAGATGGCGGCGCGTGGATTTTTTTCTACTTTTGTGAGTTTACCTAAGAGCGTGTATTTGATGTGTTGAGTGGCCACTCGGGGAACAAATAATCTCTTTAGAGGATCAAAAATTCACTTCGGTAAAAAGATAATCTCTTTCGAGACTCAAAGTTCCCCTCGCTGAACAAAGAATAATCTCCTCTGGAAGACGTCTAATCCCAGTCTTATGACAAGCAGCCTCTTTTGGGAGACATATATGACAACGCATCTTTGCAAAGAACAAAAGAATGTAATTGATCGTGTCCAAATATTTACGTGCATAAATGTATCTGTGAAAGCTTCGACAGGTACTGAGAACCAGTGTCATCACTGATTGCAAATCATATGCAATTCCACCAGATGCAAATCAATCTAAGGTACCTCAATGCATAGACCACTTTCATAAATGGCTGCCGAATTAATATTCTTTTGTTTAAATTTAAATTAGCCCTTCTGGCCTCGCTTGAAATAATGTCCTCTTTTGAATTTTGTACTGGAGAACGAGGCCAGAAGGGCTAATTTAAATTTAAACAAAAGAATATTAATCCGGCAGCCATTTATGAAAGTGGTCTATGGAGTGCCACAGTTTCAAGTAGATAGTGATGCAGCAGTGAGAGCATATATTGATACAATTGTAACGTTGCTAGGAAACGAGGCTAGTCTCGCCCCAGGACTTGGGGGAAGAAGAGCGGGAAAATCGGGTCGGCCATCTTGTTGTGTTGATATAGTGTCGCCGCCGCTAATTGTATTAAAGGAGGTTTATTAAACGTTACAGTTATCTCACCATGTATGTAG